AACAACAAACACCACCAACAACAACAGCAAGAAGGGATGGCTAAAGAGTTCCGAGTCCATGGGTCTTCATGTCTAAGCCTTTTGGAGAATTTTGCGGGTACTGGGGTTCAGCGGTCCGGGGAAAGCGGCGAAATGCTGGAGGGGCTTAGGCTTTTAGAGTTTATTCGAAGTCAAGGCTTGCAGGTTTTCGGGTGTCAGGTAGGATTTTGAACGTCGCAAATGTCCTATAATTAACCCCCTACACCCTAAACTCGGAACCGTAGACCAACGAATCCTTACCCCACCAGCCCTCGATCCTACATCGCCCTGAAACATCTTTAGACAAGCATCATGCATCCTTACACTTCCTATGTACGTGACTAGACCCCCAAAACGGTATTCTAGTTATTCGGGCCCGTGTAAAAGGAGGAATCCCTACCCTATCAGCCCTTGAAACAGTCCTATGCAAACGCCATAGAGCTCGGTTGTTAACCTCGTGAAAATACCCTACTATGCCATGCAACGCGCGCTTACCTTGGTTGCACTAGTTTCTCATTAATGGATCCTAACAATAGAAATACTGGATTAGAGGTACTAGGTCCCTCACCTGTACAGATCGGCAATGGTGGTCGCAATGTGCGCCATATCCTGGAGGTGTCTACTTCGCTTACAAGGTTTCCATGGACAAACTTGCCCAAGGTCTGGTGTGGTCTCATGGTGTGCTATGGGGATCGAACAGCTTCCTCTGCAACTATAGAGTTTTGCATGAATGCTTCTGCGTCTGCGTGCCTTACAAAGATCTCAAAGTCTGTTCATATGTCAGTTCACTCTCAGATCCAGACAATACTGCGTCGCACCAGTTTCTGACTAGCCCTCAGACTGGAGACTGGTAAGTTTCGGGGGTTTCAGAGACAAAGGTTCAGGGCAGTCCTGTAATTACTGTTTAGCTCTGGAAAATTATGCCCTAGGGTTTCGAAGTTTGTGGTTGGGGGCTCTATAGGTGTTAGGGGCAGAAGCCCTTGACCCTGAAACCCATGGTTTGGGGCTTAGGTTTTAGGGGGAGAAGCCCTTGACCCTGAAAGCCAAAACTTCACGGTCCTCGTATCGCGTGTGGCAGTCTTTCCACCAGGGAGGCTGGCTTGGCAGGTGTATCCTGAAGCTTGCGATTGTGGGGCTGGTAGAGGTGTATCCCTGAAGACTCCATGTAGGTGCTAGCTGTATACTTGGAGTCTTAGGGTATAGCGGTTTATAGCCGTAGCGCCGGCAAGTTTTACGTTTCTCTGCGGCGACTTCAAGTCAAGAGTTTGGAAAGGGGTAGTTGTCGAAGAGTTGGATGCCCAAGTTTAAACGGGGACCCTCACCCCATGGCTAACCGTTTGATTGTGGTGACTTGTCACCGGTTTTGCCCGGAAAGCTTCAGCGTGGCTGCAGGATGGTTACTCACAGTCATACACTGCTCCTCGATCGGAGTTGTGACCGCTAGTGCTGGAAGCGTGAATCTCATGAATAACCTAAACCCTGCGCCCTAAGGCCTCAACCGTAGTGCACAAGAGGATCTACAAAGCACAAGGTGTAAACCATCCTAGAAGTCTCCTATAAACTATAGTTTTATAGAGCTTCGTATAGGCCCCAAAGACGGATTGGATGACTCCCCCTAGACCCGAACCCCTAAACTGGGCTTTCAGGAAAATCTGAGCCGCAAACCCTAACTTGTCTGCGGCCAGGAAGATACTGGCCTCCATTTGGCACGGTCTACAATAGGGGTTCGGGTTTAGGGTTTAGNNAGGGTTTAGGGTTAGGGTTCAGAGCTACTGGTTTAGGAAGCTTCGAGATTTCAGCTTATCATGATATAGTATATGCTCAATATTGCCTCACTCATAATCTGAACAGCAAAAGTTATGCCGAGGCGACAAACAGGAGCACGGGATAGTGGCAAGGCTGCGCACAAACCCACAAAACAATAGTACTTGTAGTTCAGTGGATACTACCAGTTCAGCATAAGAGGTGGCAGTGCTGGCGTACCGCGTGAGCATCGCAGTTTGGGTGGCGGGCCCACCCCCTCAACCAAGCCACCTGAAATTCCGGATTTCCTGGTACCTTACACCCCAGGAAGGGGGTACTTTATCAGAAGAAGGCTTCGGGATACGTGATATAGCTGATTTCTCCGGGGATTTCGCCAGGGAGTGTAATTGTTGATGAGAAGTTTCTGTCCCTTATATACCTTCACACTAGAGGTACGCATAGGCAAAGAAAAGGGCTATTCGTAATCGGGGGGGTGCTTCTTTGCAGTGCATGTTGGTAAGGTTCCGTCTTTTGGGGGATGCTTTTGGTGGGTCCTTGTAATTGCTGGTTGCTGCCTTTGCGGCTTAGGGTCGCAGGCTCCTGCTTGCTTTTCCTTCCAGAGGCTCCGAACCACGAAGGCGTGGCATGCAGGGCTCTTAAACACTAGGGCCTAGTGTTTAACCCTAAACCCTAAACCCTAGGCCTTTGTGCCAACCCCTACTATCGATTCGCTCCGGCCTTTTTTGGTATTCTTTTCGCAGTGACTCTGAGGCCACAGTTGTGGATTTAGGGCCTAGGCGCTAGGCAGATACCAGGATTTACGAAGTTTAGGAAACACTGGACTCGAGACGACGCACAGGCCCCTACACACGAATGAGACAGAAGAACTTGCCAAGAACCCTGCTTCACCCTCTGAGGGACGTGCTGCAGCAATCTCGTGTGGTTGATACTCGCAACATAGCGTGGTGCGAAAGGAGTCGTTCAAGTAGTTCCTGGAACGTTTAACCCTTGTGCTATACTCGATAAACGAGATGCACAAGAACAACATTCGACAGGTCTTTCATTTGCGGGCTAGAAGGCGGCAGAGGATGTCGCTAGAAGTGTTGCCTATGAATAAAAGTCTGCCGCTTATAGGGGTTTGATTGGTTCGTTGCTTCGGGACAGAGGCTCTGTTCCACGCTCACGGCAAAGAACTCTGCAGATAGACTCTTTTCAGAGTCGCCTAGTAGAATAACCCCCACTTGAAGTGTCTGATTTTGAAGAACATCCTGTTCCTAAACCCTATAACCCCTAAA